TTCATCCATCCATCCATCGATCCATTTTCTGTACACGCTTCTTCCTTTTCAGGGTTGCGTGGGTCACTGGTGCCCATATCCAGCAGTCACAGTGCGAGGGGCGGGGTACACCCTGGACAGGTCGCAAGTCCATCACAGGACAACTAAAGTATATTTAGTATTAAATTAGTTGTTCCAAAATAACACTCTTTAAGTATACTGATGATAAGTGTGGCTTCAAGTATACTAAAGTATACTTAGATATAGTATACTTAGTATAATATTTTTTCACCTGGGCTCTCTGGAGGTCACGTGAGAATTTTCCCTCGGACATCTGAATTCTCACGAGATTTCAGGAAGTCTCGCGTGATTTAATATCTGACATCTGAATCATGAATGAAATATCTTTTGGTGTGTGTTGTGTTGTGTTGTCTCTTGCTGTGTGTCTGTACACCACACACTGCAGGACCAAACCTGGTAGATGCAGGATTTTCTGTCCTCACCTGTGGGCTCTCAGTCTTTGAAAATCAGCCGACTGGTTTAAAATCTTGCGGTGTGACTCAGCCTTAAGCTGTGTTGTTTGTGAAAAGTGCATTGATGGTTCTAAATGTCCCTTTCTTTGCAGGAGGAAGGCTTCGTAGGATTTATGCGCAACCACCGAGACCAGGAGAAGGTAGTGAAGAAGAAGGAGGAGCTCTGAGGGCTGCATGCAGGAAGGGGGCGGGGCAATGCACTGTGACTTTTGAGCCTGGCAAAGTCCAGATCAGCACTGAAGTGGGAGACTTGATGACCTCAGCAAAAGGCTATTTTTTATACCGCGGAGATCCTGTTTGTAATGATACCAGAGGAGATCTTACAGGCTGACCACCCACTTGAGACTTCTTTAAAAAATGGATATTCTGATGGGCACAAAAATAGACAAGGTTTGTTTTTTTTTCTCAATCACTGTGACTAAATATGTTCAAAGCTACACCCTCTGTATCTATGCAATAGTGACCCCTGCTGAGCCACGGTGGGGGGAGGGTCTGTGTGACCTGACAGTGGTGGTGGCTGGTGGGCCCTATGGTGGCTGCACCCCCTCCCACTACACAAGGGGTTCTTATTCTGTCCTGGTTTTCATCTTAGCAACTGAGACTTGATGCCACTCATTACATCACTGTTAGTCTCTGGTCATTTACAATAAACTGACATTAACATCTGTAAAACTGTAGAGAGTTTAGACATTTTGTAGTGGGGTTCTGTGAAGAGAGTATGAGTAATTAGTATCATAACTGCTGTAGATATCTCTTTGAACAATCTAAGTAGACTGACAAGCTAATGGCTAGTCCAAGCTGGGCCGAAACTAAACAGGATTATGTCATTTTTAAACTACATACTACATAGGGGTAACATAATGACCCCCGCACGCACAAATGCACCAGAACTCAGAAGTCTTTATTCCTAATAAATGTCATGCTACTAGGTGCATCCCAAAATCATAGTGGTTTGGGTGGGGGTCTTTTTTTTGAAGGGGGGGTGGGCATTGGTTGACCTGATGGATAGCCCCTCATCAGAGCTAAACAACAAAAGAAATCTGATGCTCCTAAGTTTAATAGTTTCTGAGTTATAAGCATTTTTGTATGTCCTGACACCCCCACTTTGAAAGGAGCCCCCTCCTCAAATATGGGGTCTATCATAAAACCGTTTGCTGGATCAGTGTAGGTCAGACTCATCTACAGTCCTGACAAATGTCATGTTGATCGGTGCAGCTGTTGTTGTGCTACGGTTGACCAAAAATCTCTGAGAAAACAACGTACAAAAACAATATGGCTCCTGCTAACAGTTGGCGTGCGGGGGTCATTAGAGTTAGTTATTGTGATTCAGTTCCAAACATATTCTTTAAACTTTTACATCTGTGTCAGTTTTAACAGTTTTAACAGAAGCATTGTAATATAGTATGAAGTATGAAGTTCCCCAGGCTGAGATTAGACCGTCTCTAATCTCAGCCTGGGATTAGAGACGGCTGCAATCCTTTTTGTCCCTCTCTCAAAATTCACCTGTCTGCTCAAAATTAATCTTATTTATACAAAATGTGCTTGTTCAAAGACATGTACAACAAAATACTAGTTGTTCATAATATTTTTACAGAACTCCACTTCATTTATGTGAATTATCCCTTTAAAGTCTGTCAACTAGAATGTAAAGCTGTGCAGTAAGTGATGACGCACTGTAATCTGTGTGAAATGGACAATATTGTAGCTGAAAGGTCACTTTTCTCTATTTGTCTTTGGGATGGTTTGGATTGCTTTTAAAGGGATCCATGATCAGTTGTAACATTAGACTTTATATGATAAACAAATATTTTAACTGTAAAATAAAGACTGTAAAAATACAGT